ACCCTCAGCTATAATTGTTGGTTCATTTAGCGAGAAATTACTTAATTGCGCAATCAAAATTGTTTTAGTTATAATTATTGTGAAATTGATTTTTATTTTTTTTTTAATTTTAGAAATAGTGAAAAATTTTAGTTATGTACAGGAAAATAACAAAAAATTTCAGTAATTTTTTTTGAACATAATTTTGTATATAATATTAATCTTAGATCTCGAGAAGTAAATTTAAAAAAAAATATATTTATTTTATTATGTAAATAAATATTAAATGAGTCGAGCTAACGAGTTGAGTTTTAGCATGTTTAGACTTGTTTATTAATATTTTAACAAGCTCGAACTTGAACGTAATAAAAATTTAACGAATCTAGTTCGAACAAACGTTTACCAAGCTGTGTTCGAGTCTATTGATGAACAGGTTTGTTCATTTGTAGCCCTAGGTGCTGCTAATATATCCCCAGGAATTTTTTTCGACCCTCCACTATTAAAAAAGAAAGAGGATTAATTATAGTTTTCGTTCCTGTAATTAGACTCAAATTTCACTTTAATCCCTATAGTTTTAATTTGAACAATTTGATCTATACCTTTTAGGTTTAGTTTCAATTAAAATTTGGATCAAACTATATATGTGAAAACTGTAATTAACCCTTTATTTGAAAAAAGATTTTGACTTTTAGGTTATTAAGTGATAAGACCTTAAATTTTCTTTTTTTAAAAAATCCACCATTGAATACACACACACATATATATATATATATAAAAGCGAACAAATGATTTTTTTTGTTTTCATTTTTTTTTTTTTTTGGTTGTTTTTTTGTGTTTTCATTTTTTTCTTTAGTGGTTTATTTTATTTTATTTTTTTTGGAATTTTTGGTTGTTGTTGTGTAAACCAGGTTGACTGTACTTCTATTTTTGTTAGGTGAACCTTTTATCTTTACAGTAGTTATTGTTGTTGGATAAATCATATACTTGCCCTTTTATCTTTACAGTAGTTATTGTTGTTAGATAAATCATATACTTGCCCAAACTTATTCTTGTTAATGTACCTTTTAGTTATTGTTGTTAACTGAGGGAGATTTTCATCGGATTGGTAGGCCGGGCAAAGCACACCAAGGCTTAACTTTGAAACCTGGTAGAATTATGGTAAGTGTTTGTTTGATTCTGGCAACCTAGCAAAAGTGTTTGTTTGACTTCGGTGACTTAGCAAAGTATTTGTTTCGACTCTGACGACCTAGCAAAGTATTTGTTCCGACTCTGACGACCTGGCAAAGTGTCTAACTCTGACGACCTAGCAAAGTGTTTGCCTGACTTTAGTGACCTAGCAAAGTGTTTGTTTGTCTTTGCTAGGCTTAACTCTGGCAACCTAGCAAACTCTAGCGACATAGCAAAAGGTCTAACTCAAGCAATCTAACAAAATGAAGACATCTTGCCCACTTGGAGCATAACATAAGTTGGATTGGACAAACGTAGTATGTGGACTTAAGGTCGCACAAGAGTGGGCTAGGCTATGTCTAGGTGTTTGGGTGGCGTTGATTGACCGGCAAGAGATATGCTAGGCCTTTGGACAGGACTATTGGGCTGAGAACAGAGGCTGATAAGATTGGGCCATGCTGCAAGCTAATCGACTTGAAGGCTTGGACTGAACTGAGGAGATTCGACTGGACAAACGGCTTGGTAGGTGCATTGACTAGACGGAATTGCCTTATGGTGTTGGCCAGACAGAGAGACCTGCACAAGCCTAGTATGAACTTTGACCGGCCTAGCTATGTCTTTGACTAGTTGTAAGGACCTAGCATTCGCAAGAATCGGACAGAAGTTGTGCGACCTTTGTGATCGGTTAGCTTGAAATCCGAACTTGGTCACTAGTTACGGCAATGGCATGCAACTATGAAGATGGATTGCTATGCCCAATTGTCGATCTAGAAGTTGGAATGCTTCACTTGGACTTGAGTAGTCTGGGTGTTAAAGGATGGACATTATCCTAAAAGAAGTCGACTCATAGTGGGATTATAAGTAGAGGAATTAGAGTCTTATTAGGATTCTACCTTACGGAAACACATAAAAGCCCAGAGTTTGATCTAGTCTAGGTAATACAACTTGATTCAGAGAATTGATAAGAGTTTTTCCCATATTGATCTTAAGAGAGCTAACTTTAGCATCAGAAGGGTTTTCTGGCATACATCCGCTGATAAGCTCACATGAGTTGTGAACACAGGTGTTACGATGCCGTTAGAAGGAGTTTGAGCTTGATTACAAGGAATACATGTGCGAGGTATGCTCGTACATTAAGTAAATTATACACTTACCTAAACTTACTTACATCCTAAACAAATAAGGGTTTTGTGCAAAATGATTGGCTCTGATATACTTGCTTCGCTTTCCAAATTCCATACCTTATTGAAAATTAAAACGCTAACGTGCCTTTATTTTAGAAGGGTTATTTATATGGAGACCTCTTAAACTATTAAAGTATATAAATGGACTCATTAAACTATTGAGAAGTATCATTTTGACCTCCTAAACTATAAAAACATACAAATAAATCCCCTAAACTATTAAGAAGTATCACTTTGACCCATTCTGTTAGAGGGTCTAATTTGTATGCTTTTATAGTTTAAAGGGTAAAGTGATAATTCCCCACAGTTTAGGGGGTCTATTTGTATGTTTTTATAGTTTAGGGGATCAAGTGATACTTCTCCATAATTTAGGGAGTCTTCATGAAAAATGATGAATTATTGTGAAGCATCCTATTCCCTTCGGAGCTACTATGCCTGAAGATCATGTACTTGTTCTATTGAGATACCAACCCCATTGTAACATAGCCTAAACTTGAACATTACGGGGCTCCACCGTACTACCTAGCTTGAACATTATCTTGGAGTCCCAATTTACTCAGGTCGACCCACAAAAAATCAATTGCAATATTTGCTTGACAAAATCTCTTCTAAACTTTCAGTTGGAAAGCTCATATGCTATCTCTTATTGGAAGAACTATTCTAGCAATTTAGGTTCTAAATGTCGTTCCGTAATATGCAACGCAAACTCATTTACTTCCTTCTTTCATTTGTCGAGGTATTGATAAAAAAACAAGTTCTTTTTATGAGGTGTGCCTGCTTCCCATTCTAAATGGCAAGCTATTAATTGGTCTCTTGTTTCTTTTCCTAAAGATGGGGGTGGTTTGGCCTTAAGAAACTCAAGAAAATATACTTTTGCTCACTTCATGAATCTTGCTTCGAGATTATGGGGTGTGACTCAACCTATTTTTGGCACCAAGGATCCTCTAGAGTAAAATTTTTCTAAAGTTTCCTAAAGTGTTACAGTGTATGGTTGAGATTTATTGGCAAGTCACATCAGAAAAATTGATGTGACTTGCCAGTAAATCTCAACCATTGCTCACTTCATGAATCTTGCTTCGAGATTATGGGGTGTGACTCAACCTATTTTTGGACTCAAGTATTCAAATCCAAATATCCTTTCCAAAAACCACTATTTTAGGAAGCTTCATCAAAACCAAATCATAGTTCCCATTGGAAAGTCGTCATCAAGGCTCGCAATAAAATACCCTAGGGAATTCAATGGCAAATTTCTATACACTCAAGTAAATCTTTTTGGTATGACAAATGTTTTTCCGTTAGTCCCTATTTTTATTAGTCCCTACCACAAACTTGGGACTCTTTACAAATCAAAGATGTTCTTTCAGTTGATGGTATATTGCATATTGATAATTTTAATTCATTACTCGATTGTTCTATTTTGGACCAAATTCGTGGCATTTTTCTATGCCTGTACTCCACAGGTGAAGACATACCTCTTTGGCCATCCAATTTGGGTAATTGAACTCTAAATGCAGCTTATAAATCTCTTCTTGAACCGAATTTTTCCTCCTCACGGTTGTGGTTATGGAACATCTCATGCCTACCAATGATTATATATTTTTTATGGCATTGTGTTCATAGTCATCTTCCAGTCCAAACTTGCTTAACTTGGTAACTAACTTGACCTCTTGTCACCGTTGCAAACAATTGCTTGAAAGTCCTATTCATGCACTAATGTTGTGTTTGGTTGAGTAATTTGAGGAGGGATTTGGAAAGGGAAAT